TGTTTTTTTGTCTATTTGAATTAACATGTCTTGACGATGAGGTCATTGACACGACAGTATAATACAATATAATGGTATTACAAATACAGTTTTGCATTTGAAAATATACAGTACATAATACACAATACTTATTTTTACAAATTTAACCGTTATACATAATTAAAATTCAGATTTTATAAAACACTTGAATGTCTTTTAGATACTTAAACAGGCTTGCAAATTTCTCAGTTTCACTCAACATTTCTTGTATGTTAGGTACCTCCCAACTGGTGTTGATTCTTTTAGTAGAAAGATGTGCAACTGCTTGTGAAAGATTAAGGAACTGCTGCAATGGACGCATGCAGGTGGATCGGTAGATGCCATTAGAAAGCCACGTGTAAGACGAGTATGTCCCAGTCTTAATCTTCTTAGAATAACCTTGTGTCTTCTGGGCATATGTGGTGGCTCTAAGGAAGGTATAACTGGTTGTATATCGTGTAAGTGACTCGAAGTTGTGTTCCAATTAGCTTGCCATTTGTCATATATACTCTTTTAACATTTTTTTTAATATCATTATGCAACTGGATATTTGGTATAGGTATATCCAAAGTAGAAGATTCTTTTGCGGCTTTATCTGCAGCCTCATTTCCTACAACTCCTACATGTGAAGGTACCCAGACAATAGTGACAATTACTCCATGGACTGTAAGTTTATTATATATGTCATATTAAATTTAGCAGAGAATGATCTGAGAACATGTTTTTAATTACTTGTATTGATGATAAGGATTCTGTGCAAATCGCTACATTGCGGTCAGTTGGTTCCGACATACGAAAAGCCTCGACAATACCATATAGTTCTCCAGTGTATACACTACAAACGGCAGGAAGTCCGATTAGTTTTGTAGTGCTGAAAGGGGAAACAACAGCACTACCCACCCCTACATTACTTTTAAAGGCATCGGTATAAAGAACTTTGTGAAACTGATTTCGATTAAGTATGTCTAGGAACAATTGTTTAATTATAGCTTTAGGAGTATCGTGTTTATTAAAAGAGCAAAGGGAAGTGTTGACATTCGAAAGTTGCTTATGCCACGGAGGATCTATAGAGATATGAAAGGGTTAAGTTGCAGAAAGATCGAAATCTTCGAGAATAGAATTTAGTATACAAGAAAGAGGTTGGGCAGCTCTAGTGATCTGAGAATGATGAATGATATTATTTGGTTGAATATATAGTTGGTAGACTGGATTTTGTGGATTGGCTGATAAGCAAGCTGCATATGACATAGGAAGATGTCGTCTCCATAACCACAGTGGCGGTTCGTTAGCTTCACAGTACATACTTTGAGATGGACTAGATCTGAAGGCACCTAAGCAGATCTTAAGACCCGTATTGTGTACGGAGTCAATAACTTTCATATGTGACTTGGAGGCAGACATATAGACAAAACTATCATAGTAATGGATCTGTAAACTGTAAGCAATACCTCTTCGTCAGCTCCCCATTGGAAATGTGCTAAACTTTTTAGGATATTAATATTTTTTAAGCAGTTGCCTTTCGTTTCCTGTATGCGTGTATTCCAATTAAGTCTGGAGTCGAAGGTCGGTCCTAAGACTTTATGATGATTAATATCATGTAGTAATACTCCGTTGTATGTCAAAATTGGATTATCTTTTGTTGTTTTTCTGCTAAATTTCATGATTTTAGTTTTTTGAGATGGGAAGGAAAGCCCTATATGCCTCGACCACCTTTCTATATTATCTATGGCTGTTGGCATTAGTCGACAGGTAGTTTCGATATTCTTTCCTCTGCCAGAAAGTACAAGGTCATCAGCATATAATGCGTATTTAACTGGGAGATGAATATTTTTGGAGAACCTTGTGCAAATAAATTTCCGTTTAAAATAACTTTAAAAGTTCGATCATCTAAAAAATTCTGCACAAAGTGGTATATGTTTCCACCAAGTCCACATTGTTGAAGATTTTGGAGTATTACAGATTTTTGAACAGTGTCAAAGGCTCCTTTCAACATGTAGGGTTTGAAATATGTACTCTAAAAGACACCATCATAGGCGAAATATGAGTACCATCATCATCATCAATGGTGCTACAGCCCTATGAAAGAGCCTCGACCTTCCCAAGTCTATTACGCCAGGTAGTCCTATCCATTGCCAACTGTTGCCAGTTTGCTGCGCCTATCTTTCTACCATCCTCATCTACACCATCCTTCCATCTGAGTTTTGGCCTACCTCTTTTTCTGCTTCCCACGGTTTGTGACAAAAGGATTCTTCTAGGAGGGTTGTTCTGCTGTGATCTTGCTAGATGTCCTGCCCATCTTAATCTTCCTATTCTTATAAGAGATACTACGTCTTTACCACCAAATATTTGTTTATATCTGTGGTATACCTCGTAGTTGTATCTCCTCCTCCAAACACCATTTTCACAGATGCCACCAAATATTCCTCTCAGGATCCTTCGTTCAAATATAAGCAAAAGGTCTTCGTCTGCCTTGGAGATGGTCCATGTCTCCGACCCATATGTCAACACTGGCTGTATAAGGGTTTTGTATATAGTTATTTTTGTTTTTTGGCTTAAGTTTCTACTTCTCATATGTCTACTCAGTCCAAAATAGCATCTGTTTGCCATTACTATACTTCGCTTGATTTCTTCCGTTATGGCGTTCTCTTTGGTGATGAGGGAGCCTAAGTATGTGAATTTGTCAACCACTTCAAAGGTAGAGTTATCAATATGAGTACCAGAGGCATTTATTGCCGCAATTACAGTAATAATTTGTCCTCTTTCTCCACTTGCCATCTTTCCAAGTTGATTTATGCCGTTTGGGCCAATTATTTTAGGAGGGCCGTAAAACAAGATTCATCAGTTTTAAATTTTATGTGACGAAAATTCATATCGAGGTAGAACTTTCTTGTAATTTGTAAAAAATGAACTGACATAGACTTTATGTGGATCTTGCCAGGCTTGTAGGCTCTGGTTTTCCAAGTGATAATTCTACTGTGTAACGCCTTAGGAAGTATCTTAGCCATCCTTCACCGCTTTCTTATTTTGCTCCCATGATGACGAAAACTTTTTATCATTTGCAAGAGCAAATTGTTAAGCAAAACAACGAACCTCCCTTTTTGTCAAGCCATAGGGAAGGCTTTTATTAAATAATCTTTCAAACTATTTTTCTCTTCAATCGAGAAAACTTGTTGATTTTTATTGCTTGCTTCATAAGAAAATTCCGCAGTACCTTTTAAATTTTTATGTTTAGTCAGATGCCTAATAAGTGTTGTTTTGGACATTATTATTACAGCGAGAAGCTTCCCATATAGTCAAAATTCACCATTTAGACATTTTTCTACTGCACACTTGATATTACATGGATTTTAAGATGTCTTTTATTTTTTCTTTTGCTGCATGGTTAATTTTTTTCTGAAAAAGAAAACTGCACCAAAATAAATATAAACAACATCGGTCATCCAAATATTCAATCATAACGTTCAAATAGCACTTTATTGCCCTCTACGAGTGGTGAGAACAATAGCTATTGCCGGTAACCGTTAGAGCCCTTCTTTGTAGTAGTATTTGCAACTGGACCATACCCAAGTAGGACAACACCTTCCTCTACTTAAAAGAAAACTTAGAAAAGTCATTTCTTTATAAGAAAAGAGTTAAAAATGAAACGCCAAATCTATGACAAACAATGAAAAGGAATTTTAAATAATTGTAGCTTCCTGCTTTTCTTTCCAGTTCATTACACCCTTTTTAAAATTTGGTAATTATTTTATATAAAACCTACTAAATATAATATTTTCCTTGACAATCATCCTCAATATATTGCATTAAAATCAAATTTGCGACTTTCTCTTCTATATACTTGTGTACTATTGTTGATACCTATAAATGTTTTATATTTGTATTTGTTTCAAATATATATTACATAAATGTACTATTCGGGAAAAGATATATATTCATAAAAAATGTTAAATAAATGTATTTACAATAAAGTTCATGTATTTTTTTGAAAATTTAAGGCCACCGAGTTAGTAAGGCGATATGTTTCCCTAAATATATTTCCTCTTTCCTAAATGTAAATAGTTCTTCTGCAAATTAATTAAAATAAGCAAACATCCATAGAGACAAAAAAGTTTACACATGATTTATGTTACCTAGATATCTTTTGTAAGATAAACCAAGTGCGAAACTTTTTTAATTCCATGGATGTTTGCTTATTTAATTAATTTGTAGATGAACGTTTAAGTTCAGTTATGTTTCAAGTCAGTATCAAAAATATGGACTACAAATGAATGTTAAGAAAACGTAGCTCATGATTATTTCCAAGCAACATACAGTAGGAAGGCTAGATATCGAGGGAAAACAATGACCAAGGTAGAGAAATAAGGACACGCATTGAAATTACAAGACAAGCATTTATAAAAATGTAAACAATGTTTGTCAATCGAGACCTTCCTCTGGATCTGAGGATAAGAGCCTTAAGATGCTACATGTTCTCGACTTTGTTGTATGGAATGGAAAGCTGGATACTAAAAGTGGATAATATAAAGAAGTTGGAATCATTTGAGATATGGTGCTATAGGATTTTGAAAATACCATGGACCCAACAAGTTACAAATGCAGAAGTGTTAAGAAAGCTACAAAAGGATTGCGAGGTCATAAAGCACATCAAAACAAGAAAGCTGGAATATTTAGGCCACATTACCAGAGGTGCGAAATATGAGATATTAAGGCTCATAATGCAAGGTAAAACCAAGGGTAAAATCCATAGGAAGATGAAGAATTTCCTGGCTGAGAAACCTAAGAGAGTGGTATAGTTGCAGCTACGTAGATATTTTTAGAGCAACCGCCAAGAAGGTCTGGATAGCTGGAGAAGGAACTACAAGAAGAAGAAGCTTGCCATGTCGTTCATTGAAAAAACTTTGGTTAGAAAAATATGAAAAGGTAAGGAATGGTTCATCTCTGACAAAAAGGAAGGATTGAGCTTTATTTTAAGAAGTAGGCTTTTGGTAAATACTTTTTTTATTCTCAAATCAGCGCCCTCTGAACAAATTATCACCAGCCACCACTGGTTTTTACATTATCTAGAGACTAGTATTAATATTTGGATGAAAGTTCATATGGTTTAGGTAAAAAATAAAAACACAAGCCTTGAAAATAAATTCAGTTAATTATATTTTACAGCTGTAGGATCAAATGGACCGCTAAATGGTGACCCTTCTGCATTCCAAGCTTTCTTTAAAGTTTCATGAACCTCTAATTCTTCTGAAGTTGGTAAACCTAGCCTTTTTCTTTCATGATTCCACTGTAACTCTTCTATTTTGACCTGAGCATGTTCTGGTAGTTCGTCATATGCTCTAGTACAATCAATTTTTGATATGTCTAGGACTGGTTCACTTTTTATTAAGCAATTCCACCACTTTTCTTGGCATTTATCTAAATGTAGTAGTAACTTTCGTCCATCCAAAGACCAAACAGTTTCAGTAGCTTTACATTTTTCACACAGATCTCCACTCAGTATATACTCACCATCTCTTAACTTTACTGATATAGAACTAGACTGAAGCTTAACCTCTAAATCTTTTGTACTGACATCTTTGGGGATTCTCACAATGACATCAATTTCTGTTATAGATTGTGACCAGCAGTAATGCTCAAAGACAGCACCATTATAATATTCAGACTTTGAAAAACTAAATTCTTCCACTCCATCTTCTGGTTCGTCTTTTGTTGTAGAAGAAACCTGGTCTAAATCTTCAGTACAAGACACTACTGTTTCTTCAGTAGATACAGGTATTTCATTTGGAGTATATATGATATCTGGTGAGACTGGTTTCCATTTCATAAATGTATGTCTGATTAACTTTTCAGCAAGACCTTCAGGCAAACCCACAGTAGCATTTTCTTCTTTGGACACATGATAAAAGTCAGTCCTGCAAATTAGTTATTATTAATTATTGATTTTTGACAAAAATTATAACTTAGCATATTTTACAATAGGGGCTTACTTATGTTAATTGGTATCTTAGACCTTGAAAATAGACCTAACCAGCAACAAGCCTTTTTTTTCAAAGATCCTGTAGCCAGTTTAGTAGTCTAGAGTGAGGAGTGTTCAATAGAAAGTTTTTATTCCAAAAATAAATTTTGAAGTTTTCAGTTAAGTGATTTTGAAGTTTATTTAGAGAAATCTATTTACCTTCTTTGCAAAAAGCCAAATATGTCATCCAGGAACTTCGGCAGCGTTTTACAATCTCTGAGCATTTCAAATAACATATCATCATGATTACTTTCACACATTGTTCAATGTACCTTTAAAAAATGTTTTGTTTTGTACTAAAAAAATTTATTGATTTATTTACAAAGGTGCACTGACTGAAGGAAAACAATCTTCTTCTTCTGATTTTGCTGAAAATATTGTCTTCTTCTATTAATTGTACGAGCAGCTACATCCTGTTAACATGGACAGCTTCATTTTCCATAGTTGTGCTGCTCTGGCTTGTAGTGAGAACAAATAATCTCTCTCCCTTAAATACATCTGAAAAATCAAGAGGTTGAAAGAAATTTTCGACAGATTTGAATTGAAATTTTCTTGAAGTACGGGAGAAACAGATGGCATTGTATCACAGCCAATTAAAGTAACTTTAGGTGGCTGTGAATTGTATACATTTCATAGCTGGTTGTTTGGTGGTCTCGTCTAATTAAAGTTAACAGCAACTGTCGTTTTGTATGTATTTGATATTAATTTGGTATAAATTTAAAAATCGATAATTTATATTTGTTATTTCCAATGTATTGGAAAATTCTTTTCTAAAAATTAATCTTGTATTCTTATCGTCTTATTTTTAAGCTGATAATTGTCAATATAAGTTTCTGTATCTATATGGAACTTAAAATATATTTTTTTAAGTCTTACTAGTTATTATGTTAAATTATTTAATACTTTAATCGTCGGCTATATACAAACACATAAACGGAAGGGTAGTAAAATTCTTATCACATTTTATTATACTAGTATCGTAAAATTTTATTTTAAAGTCTACCACCTACCTTCCCCATTACTCTATTAGGTAAACGATAATATTCATTAGACTTCCAATAAAATCATTACACGTATCTTTTTATTTAATTCAATTTACCCGTAATCAATTGTACTAACATAGCAAGTGTTTCCCACAAATCTGATAAAAGGTTCGAAAGGTTAATCAAAGATAAATATTTAGTCCAGTGTTGTCCAATATAATTTCAAGTGTGACCAACGAAAAGTTAACTGAGAAAGCAATAATTTAAAAATGGTATTATTGAATGCCTATTTTATGGTCTTATTTTGTGCCTTAGCCGTGTATTCAGATGACCCAGAGCAAGAACAGGGTGTAAAATACGCAAATAAATGTGAAGGTAAGAAAATCTCAAATCGATTTTAAGGTTAGGTATAAATTTGCAGGTAAAAAAAATGTAAATAAAAAATTCGGTCATGCAAGTCTGAGGAATTAAAAATGTTATAAAGAAAATAAAGCAATTGTCTGTTAGCTGCATAAACTTTCAGAATATATTAGCTCCAAAAAAATGCAATTTTAAAATTCCATAAATAAAATTATGTTTAATATGTATTTCGATTTTAGTAAACCTATGGTCTTTTTTTGATTAGGACTACTGTACATTCAGTTTAAATTTGTCACTTTTGTAAACGAGAAGTTTCATGGAAGTCATTTTTAGAAATAGGTTTGTAATAGCTGGCCCTTTTTTGTGAATTTGATTGTGAAAATGACTGGCAATTTTTTCTAAATTAGTATTAAGTTTGATCTATTTTGTGTAAATGTAATTTATTATGAATAGAACTATAGTTTATAGAGAATGTATTTTTAGTATGCAAAATACTGGCTATCGAATTGGAATCAAGACTGGAAGAAACAGGTAAAACTAGTGAGGTTATTGAAACAGGATATTCAGTAGATGATGTGAAACCTAAAAAGAAAAAGGCATATAAAAAATCAGAGCTTAGGCTTGTAGAATCATTGGAAGGTGTTTGTGATAGAATTTTAGAGTATAATATACATAAAGAAAGGGAAGATAGTACAAGATTTGCAAAAGGCCAAAGCCAAACTTTTCAAACATTACATGGGTTGGTGGATAAAGGTGTTAAAGTTGAACTTGGTATACCATATGAGCTATGGGATAAGCCTAGTGCTGAAATTACAAAGCTTAAAACTCAGGTATAGTATTTTCAAACAATTAGTATTTTTATGATAAGAATAACATACATTATAATCCAGTCATCAGAGCAGAATTTAAAGTTTCTCATTATAAAAGATCTAAAATGTTTAAAATTACTTCTTTTTAATCGCACAATTACATTTTTCTAAACTACACGACTTCAGCTGCAAATTCCACCCAATACTGTCTTTGTTTGTCTTGTGCCGTAATAGTTTTTATTGCAGGTGATTTTAATATAGATTTGAGGAGTCAAACTAAAGATAGAACAGACTTTCTCTATTTATTACAAACATTTAATATATTGCTATCAGTTTCTGAATATACTCACATATGTAGAGCTACAAACATGTGCATTGATAACATTTTTACAAACTGTGAACTTTATGTAGCAGAAGTATTAGATACTCATATTTCTGATCATCTTGGTCAAAAAATAACTTTCAGTATTAATGTAAACAAAAAAGAAAATATAAAAATTAGGAAAAAAATGTTTGATACCCACAGTAAAGAAAACTTTAGGTGAATGCTGCAAGATGAAGACTGAAGCTTTTTTCAGTACCAAATTGGGATATAGAAAAGCAATGGGTTGTATTTATGAAAATCATTTCTTTGTTATTTGACCAATGCTTTCTAGAAAAAAAATATAAATAAACATAAAAACATATCAAATACTATAATACAAATGAAATAAATCAATATAAAAGTCGCTTAGACCTTTTGCTAATGTCAAGTAGAGTAGATGACCATTACAAAGATGAGTACAAACAAACAAAACATCAGTATAATAAAATGCTTGGTGGATTCACGAAAAATGCAGTATGGGCCAGAAATATATAATAGTCAAAATGTCTATGGAAAATCATTAAAGAAATCACACAGGTAAATTCTATCGATAATAATGTAGCTATACTAGGAGATCCAGTTATGGTAAGTTATAATTTTAATGAATATTTTTTAAATGGTGCTACACATCTTTTAGAAAATATACCAAAAATAGAATTCAGCACCAAAATACAGTTTAACAAAAACTCATTTTTTCTAACTCCAGTAACTATAAATGAAGTAATTGAATTAATTAGAAAATTGAAAAATAAATTCACTTCAGGTTCAAATTCTTGAACACATAACAAACCATAATACTAATACACAAAACAATCTCATAAACTATAATATACCAATACATAGACTAACAGCATCTGAGAAAACCACAGAATATGTCTGTATTAAATTCTTTAATAAACTGGCTTACAGCATCAAAATAGAAACTGACATAAATGAATATAGAAAGTCTGTTCAACAATTGCTCATACACCTTGAGCTGTACAAAGTGGAAGAATACCTTCAAGCTGACCTGCAGGGAGACTGAGGGCTCTTACCTGAATCTAAATGTCAGTGTTAGTATCATTATATTTTAATATTACTTTTATGTTAAGTGTAGGTTGTTACAGCAACCATTATAAATTGTAATTGATACCATTCTCTCTATTGACAATTTATATTTGTGTGTAACTTGTGAATCCTGAGAATAAAGCTTTTTTCTATTCTATAAAGTCGCTATAAAAGGCAGCTTAGCATGAAAAGTATCCCTATATAATGTTATCACTTGTTGCTTCTAAATATTCACTTTAAGTTGGTTAGGGCCCTGAAGGTAACAAATGAAAGTATGGTTTCTTTTAAATCTACTGATTCTTGTGATACTAATGTTTTCATTATATTTCTAATTTACCTCTATGTGAAGTACTATTTTGTTAACAAATGCAATAGGTCAATACATCATTAACAAATTCAAGTAGTCAAATACATTATCGTGGCTAAATGGATCAAGTTATCCAAAGCTATTAATGAAATAAAAAAAACTGTCTTCATTTGAACCATTTCCTGTGATGTGCGAAGCTGGGGATAGGAGTAGTAAACTTTTTGCATCTTTTTTGGGGACCCAAATTGACATTCTCAGCAAGGCATTTTCATATTGTGTTCTTCCTAAGAGAATGGTTTATTTTACATACAAAGTGTTACAGCTACATTTTTTATTTGAAATGTTTTTTTTTTTCAACATACAGGTACTTGGTAAATTGATTTTTTCTGTTTTCCTCCTCTAAGAAGGGGGTTTTAGGAAGAGGCTGGGAATAGGAGTAGTAAATTTTTTTGTATATTTTTTGGGGTGAAATATCTGACAACTGGACAACAAAGAGCAATGTTATGGATATATTTTCTAAACAAATCTTAATTTTCAGTGTGAAACTTTATTAGAAGAAAATGAAGCTGATATAGAAGATTGGTATTTCAACCATCAAGGAAAATTGACATTGAAAAAATACCTTTGTGAAGATAGGGCACTGAAAAATCAGGAATCCAAATGCTTATATGAACAATTAAAAGGCGAAACTGGAGAAAGGAAGAATCCAAAGAAGAAGAAGCAAGAGTTGTAGTTAGTTTTTTATCTTTTTTTAATAAAAATATGTACAAAACTTGTAGAGATCATTTTAAAATGTTTTTCATTAGTATAAACAATCCAGAAATAACTCAACATGAATACAAACTTAACTAAAGGTCCTGTTGTTGTACTTATTTCCAAGTATTCCACCATTGAATATGTCTCCAAGAAATTTTCTACAAATACCTTTATATAATAGTCTTGTATTATGATACACTAACCATGAAACAGAAAAAAAAGGTGTAGAACTTTGTGTGTATGGCATATCATGACATCAAACAAAATCTATTTGCAACAAAAGATGAAAATTATTAATTATTTGAAATGTTTCATGTTGTATATTAGTTTTTAGTACAATATATACTGAGTCAAGTACCAATTTATCTGAAAAAGACAGGAGAACTGTAATATTTAGAGTCAATGGAAACTAATTTGAATTAGTTCTTGATACAGATTAAAGAAAACCAAGAGTTCAGATAACATTCAAGGAATATATGATTTGGATCACCAATAGATATATTGTCACAAATACAGACAGGAAAGTTTTCCTGTATTCCAATTTTATATAAATGGGATGAAAAGCAACCATGATTTATTTTTAAACTAGTCAATACTGACATTTGTGCTCTAGTATAATTATAGGTGCAATATGGAATGTTTTTTGGAAATGAAAGGTGCAGAACTTAAAAATTTCTACTGGTAAGCTTTGGAGGTATAATTGACTCATTTTCTGTGATTATGTGTACTACCTGTGGCTCTCTAGTTCAGTGAAGTATATGACAGGTTTCTCACTGTGGAGCATTCCATGGAGACCACAATATATTTTTCGAACATGTAAGTGGAGTAAATTAACAATTTATTCTTTATTAATAACTATATTTACACTCTATACATTTACAACTAAATTAAAGACTTTTACTCTTTTTTGCCTGCTGCCTCTTTTTCCCTTTCAGCCTTTGACTTCCTAATATGTTTGGGTTTACCTCTTAGAGCTCTCATTCTATCCATCTCATCTTGAAAATCAGCATGTTCGTCTCTGTATAAACCATAATCTCTCAACTTCATCATTAATTTTCCTGTTTCTATATGTCTTGGGTAGTAAGCATATACTTCCCTCCGTAAATGAACTGGCTCTGCACTAAATAATTTGACAACTTTCATAGATTTAGGATTCGTTGGTCGAACAACTTCTCCAAATATTCTATTACTTAGCCTGTTCATTCGTCGAGCATATTCTGTAGTTTGTTTTATTAAATCTGTATATTTTGCATAGTTACTCATTTTTTAGAATTCCACTCTATAATACCAAGATATAAAATATACTATATTATTTATCTATGGATATAAATTCTTTAATATTTAGTTTGTTTAAAAAAAAGGTTATTTTCTTCTTTCTTAATCACCATTAATTAAGTAGATTAGGCACGTTAGGTTTGCTAGCACTCAGACACAAAAAGTTCACATATTGAAACCGAGAATAAGAAAAACAAATGTTCTTGAATATTTTCTACATCTTAAACTTAAATAAAACTATTTTTTATAATATAGGAAACCATAATTTTATTAAAAAAGCAATATAGGGAATTGTTTCTCTGTGGCTCAAGTATACTACTATTCCAGACTTCTTTTTTTGAAAAAAGAATTATTCGAAATAATGGAAGTGTATACTAAACCCATCAAAACTTCCCTGTATATTTAAAATATAATATTTGAATTGTTACAATTTAACATATTGTAGTAAATATTTGTAGTATTCGCTTTATTTTATTTAATATAGTTTTGTTGATTTAATATCTTTGTTTAATTCTTTTGTTAGCTTTATTTAGTTAATTAGTTATATTTTAATTTTTATTATTATGGATAGTCAAAGTTTTCCATTTGTTCCATCAGCTAATGCGTTAGTAAGTTAATATTTTTAGATGAGTAAGGATGCTGTTCCTAAATTACAAGGTAATGAAACTGCACAAAAGTTTATTTAAAACGCCTACCATTTTTTTAAAAACCCCCTCTGTGGCTCAGTGGTAAGAGCGCCTGCCTTTAAATCTAAAGGTCGTGAGTTCGAATCCCACCTGGGTGGAAATTTTCGTTTATTAAAAAAATTAATAAATGAAAATAATTTCTATCCTTGTGTGATCGGTACACACCGGAGGGACCGCAGACGTTCGGATACAATTAGCGTCTCTTAGCAAAGACAATGACGTCGACTTTGCTAAGTATCAAGACAATTACTCTACACACACACACACACACACTACACCTCAAATTGTAAGATTGGCGAATGGATTTAGTGTCCGCAGTCATTTAAACACAAACAAAACAAACAACAACATTTTTTTAAAATTATTTGCCGAATGAAAACCCTGTTGAGGTAAGTTGATCAATAAAATATATTCATCAAATTAGGTAAATGTTACAGATGTTCTTAATAACAAAAACATTTCAGTTAAAAACATCCAAACGTCCGAAAATTTCAGAAAAAGTGTGCGTAAATGTAAAGTTACGCCTAATAAAACCCTCACTTTAAAGAAGAAAAGTCGCAAAAGGAATTTAACGACTGACTTAAATGATAACAGCGTCAAATATTAAATTCGCTTAGAAATTTATCCTATATATGAAGAAAGTAAGTTTCTACTATATATAAAAGTTGCGCCAAATGTAGGCAACCAACTGTTGTGCCAAATGTTTCTGGTAGAATTTAGCTTGAGTTTCTTGAGAATAGTTTCAATAAACGAAAAAATTTTAATATTACCTAGCTAACTATAAGCTCTTTTAAAATAATAATAACGCTGAATAAGCAATATTTTAAATTTATATATAATCACAAAACATACTCAATATTGTGTTATATAATCCACATAATAAAGTACATTAGATAAAAAAAGGTAAAATCCCCGGTCGTCTAAAACTAGTTTTTGGTACGAATAATAAAATATTAGTATAAGTTTGCAAAAAAGATAGATGAAATACTCTAATTAAAAATAAGCTATGAGAACGTGTGCTTGGTTGTATAGTAATTTCCAGCCACTTCTAGTCTGTCAAAAAGCAACTAAATTCGCAAAAAAGTAATTACTAAATTCAAGGTTTTTCTTCTTCTCGTCTTGGTTGGAGCATTGAAACCAAAAAGAATAAGAAAGTGAAACTTTGAGAGTTGCTATTCTTCTAGGTTAGGCACAAATTTAAAATGAATTCAAATTTGAGAAATTTTGGATTGAATTTTAAAAGAACTTTACGAAAACTTAATAAACATTATACAAAAATAAATCAGTATAATACTGCCAAAGAAATTCAGAGTGTGTCCATTGAAAAAATACGAAATATAGGAATTTTGGCTCATATTGATGCAGGCAAGACAACCACAACAGAAAGAATGTTATTTATAACTGGATTAATTCAAAATATGGGGGAAGTTCATCGTGGAAATACAGTTACTGATTATATGGAACAAGAACGTGAAAGAGGAATTACTATTACGTCAGCTGCTGTAACATTCTACTGGAAAAAGATCCAGTTCAATCTAATTGATACTCCAGGTCACATAGATTTCACGATGGAAGTAGAACAAACACTTAATGTGTTAGATGGAGCTATTGTAGTTCTTGATGGTACTGCTGGAGTTGAAGCACAAACATTAACAGTGTGGAGACAAGCTGAAAAATATAAGATTCCTAGAATTATTTATGTGAATAAGATGGATCGAAGTAATGCAAGTATAGTGCTTTCATGTGAAACTATTGAACAAAAGCTACAAATTCCATATTTATTACTACAATTACCTGTAATTGAAAATAGAAAATTAACTGGCATAATAGACATAATAACTATGGAATTAATTACGTATGGAGCAGAAAACATTAAATTAATTGAAAGAATTCAGTTAACTGAAAAAAACTTTCCGAAACACTTTGAAGAGGCTAAATTAGCTAGATCCAAATTAGTAGATAAATTATGTAATTATGATGATAATTTAGCAGATCAGGTCTTGATTTCTGAATCTTTAGATAATATTCCAACAACTGATATTGTAAAATCTTTGAGGACAGTAACAAAAAATCAGACTGCAGTTCCTATATTGTTAGGGAGTTCCTACAAAAATGTAGGAGTGCAAAATTTAATGGATGCTGTTATTTTGTATCTACCTGCACCAAATGAAAAAAACACACTTTTCTCATCATTTGAGGACAATTTGTGTGCAAGGGCATTCAAGGTTATCCATAATAGGCAAAAGGGACCACTGGTATTTTTAAGGATATATAATGGGCAAATAAAAAGAGGGCAGAAAATTTATAACATTAAACAAGACTGTTCAGAACAAATAGGAAAATTATTTGTGGCATATGCCGATGATTTTAAAGAGATTGATTCCATTGCCAATGGAAATATAGCTGTGGTAACAGGAGTTAAAAAAGTAATGTCTGGTGATTTAATTACAACTTCAAACAATGCTAGTCAAAAAGCAAAGAACAACATTCTTAGAAAAAACAAAGATAGGACTATGGAAGAAAAAGATATAAACAAGATATTTGGCATTGGTGTTGCAATACCAGAACCTGTATTTTTCAGATCAATTGAACCACCAAGTGCTAGTAGTCAGACTCATTTAGACCAAGCATTATCAGAGCTACAAAGGGAAGATCCTAGTCTTAGAGTTACATACAATTCAGAAACTGGACAAACCATACTAGCTGGAATGGGGGAATTACATTTGGATATAATAAAAGATAGAATTATGAAACAGTATAAATTAGAGGTTGACTTGGGCCCTTTACAAATAGCTTACAAAGAAACACCTACTGAGAAACTAACTGATACATTAACTGTTGAGACCAAAATTGGTTCTAGCAAACAATTTATAACTGTTAAGTTAACCTTACAACCCATTGATGATTTAACACATTCAAATGAAGTACTAAAATTAGATAAAAGTCCTGAATATGCTAGTAATATTGCTAGTATATTTCCTAAACATTTGGTAGCAGTAAGACAAGGTGTGGAAGTTGGATTGTCGCATGGTCCTAAAATCAGCTGTCCTGTAATTAATGTGCAAGTTATATTACATTATTTAGAAGTTGGTAGAGGAACATCTGACACAATGATAACTGCAACAGTGACTCAACTGATACAAAAGATCTTGAAACAAGTGAATACCTATATTTTAGAACCTGTAATGAGTTTAGAAGTTGTAACCCCAGAAGAACATCTATCAGTAATTGTTGCTGATTTATCTAGAAGAAGAACAAATATTAACAACATAGGAATGAGAGGTAACTCCAAAGTAGTTCTTGCTAACACTCCATTATCAGAACTATTAGGGTATTCTACAATATTAAGGACAATATCATCTGGTACAGCTACTTTTACTATGCAGTTTTTGGATTGCACAAAAATGTCACCGGAGTTGGAAATGTTGGCTATTAAAAGTGTTAGAGGTTTTTAATGTTAAATTAGACTGGTACAAAGTGCTATATTTATATTTCTTTAAATTGTTATCTGTGATATTATTGAAATACAAAGTATTTTAGCTAACAGTATTGTTTATTTAAAAGTTTAAACCTCTTCTACAAAAACCATTAAAACAGCTCTCTTTATTAAGGATAATCATTTTTTACCTTTACTTCACATATCCTTGTATCCATTGCAGGTGTTGTGTCCATTTTTTGATAGACTTACCAATATCGTTAATGAACAAGTTAAAAAGCAAGTGACCACAATCAGATCCTTGTAGAACACTACAACAACAATGGATTATATCCTAATCACATGGTAGATTATAATATAATCTACTATGTGATTAGGATAACTCAATTTTTAATATATTGTAAACCACACTCATTTTCTTGTAGATTATAATATAATTATTGGTCTATACAGAGTGGCCCAAAAGTTTGAAAACAGCTAATTATCTCATAAATTACTAGACATCATTATACTAAATTTGAGATACGCCTATTTTGGGATACAGAGATTCCATATTTGGTATTTGCAATGTTGCCAGATTTTCAGTTTATCTTATACTACTAGTAACTTTGGTTTTTCAAATGCATCACCCTGTATATTCAGTCATTATTAGAATCTCCTATTAAATACAAGTTCAAACATATGTAACACTTATGATTTTATGTAGTCTGGAAGGTCTTAAATACATAAAACTCTGGCAATGCCTAAATTGTTTCAAGACATTTTTTAATACTAACTATTTTCAAATACACTAAAACGTAACAATTGATAGTTTAGAACATTTTTTAACATAGTAGTTACGTTATAGTGTTCAAAATGTGCTCCATTTGTGAGCTGACAGCACTATAATCGATGGTAGAATGCGTCTACCACATTTCTCCATGATTGTCTAGAAATTATTTGAGATTCATCGATAATTCATTGCCTTAGCTATGCAAGACTTGCTAGTTAAGTTTTGTAAACTGAATTTTTCAAGTATCTCTAATAAAAATAATCTTTAGGATTGAGATCGGGTGAACGTGGAAGCCATTCAATTCTACCTTGTCTACCAATTTATCGTCCGGGAAATATCTCATCTAAATAACGCCGAACATTTACACCAACTATCTGACGTTAAATTTCTTTCGATAAAAAATGGCCCAATTAAATAAGTGCCTACTATAACTGACCATACATTTAATTTTTGTGGTCTTTAGAGTATGGTTTTCACGCATTCAGTGTGAATTTCACACGAGTTCAGCTATTCAATACGAGTTCAACCATATGTTCACTTGATTTTATGTAGTCTGAAAGATCTTAAATACATAAAACAGTGCAAAATATGTAGATTTTAATAAATTTAAATATTTAAATGTAGAATGCTGTGATTTTGATATTTGTTCACCATTTAAATTATGAACTAAAATTGACAGTAGTTGTGGTTCAAAAAGTTCTGCAATTTAAATTGCTTCTCTAAAATGCCATTTTCTAAACCGTTCTCCTATTCATAAGATGACGGTACAAAAAACTGTAAGGCGATTTGAGGAATCTGGAGAAGTAAAAGATAGATACTGATCAGGTTGACCGAAACGAGTTATCAATGACAACAAAACTTCAGATATAAGCAAAGTTTTGTTGAAGATCCACATACATCCCCAGGCAGGGTTGCACAAGTACATGATGTAGGTCATTCTTCAGTCTTACGTTTATTACGTAAAAATAAATTTAAATCATACAAAATTAACTTATTGCAAGAATTAAGTGAAGATGACTTTGGTCGTAGATTAGAGTTTACTGAGGTAATGATGGATAAAATTGAAAATTATTAAAATTTCGTTAACAGAATATGTTTTTCCGATGAAGCAACTTTTACACTGTGTGGAAGTGTAAATCGACACAATTTAAGGTACTGGTGTAACGTAAATTCAGACTGAAAACTGAATGCGTGGAAACCATACTCAAAGACCACAAAAATTAAATGTATGGTCAGATATAGTACTTACTTATTCAATTGGGTCATTTTTTGTCGAAAGAAATTTAACGTCAGATAGTTGGTGTAAATGTTCGGCGATATTTAGATGAAATATTTCCTGGACGATAAATTGGTAGACAAGGTAGAATTGAATGGCCTCCACGTTCACCCCATGTCAATCCTAAAGATTATTTTTATTAGGGATACTTGAAAAATTCAGTTTACAAAACTTAACCAGCAAGTCTTCCAGAGCTAAGGCAACGAATTATCAATAAATCTCGAATAATTTCTAGACATCTAGACAATCATGAAGAAATGTGGTAGACGCCTTCTACCATCGATTAGGGTGCTGTCAACTCACAAATTGAGCACATTTTGAACACTTTATAACGTAACTACTATATTAAAAAATGTTCTAAACTATCAATTGTTACGTTTTAATGTATTTGAAAATAGTTAGTATTAAAAAATGTATTGAAACAATTGAGGCGTTGCCAGACTTCGGTTTTATGTATTTATGACCTCCCAGATTACATAAAATCATAAGTGTTACATATGGCTGAACTCGTATTGAATAGGAGATTCCAATAATAACTACAGGGTGATGTATTTGAAAAACCAAATTTAGTAATAATATAAGAAAAACGGCAAATCTGGCAACATTGTAAATATCAAATATGGAATTTCCATATCCCAAAATAGGTGTAATTCAAATTTTGTACAATTATGATTAGCATTTTACGAGATAATTAGCCGTTTCCAGACTTTTGGGCCACTCTGTATATTTCTCGTTAATTTTACAGTCCAGGCAAATATTATTCAAATGTCGAATAGAAACATTATTACAAAAGCAAACTGGTGAATTCACTAATAATATCGTATGGCTTTTTGCCGGGAGATTCTTTCAATTAGGTTCCGGCGCCATTTGCATCTTTAACCTTGTTTCAAGTAGCTAGTGTCCATGCACACTAGCCCAGGGGACCGACGGTTTTACGTGCCCTCCGAACAATTCACTATTCCTAATTTATGCAGATGTGCCGCATATTTTCCGTGTTAAGTTTTTAGTAGAAAATCGCGCTTTGGAAGGTTATATTTAAATATATATTCAGGTGGCGAAGAAAATTGTTGACGTAAAGAAAAATATAATTTTTTTTGACATGCTTGAAATATTGTTCCATTGTTTATCCCATATTGTATAATATTCTAGCTTTAGAATATTATATATAATAAAATCCGAATTATAATTTTGTCGTTATCGTGTTATGAAAAAAAACCCTTTGTTATTCCATCTTTGGCCAACCAGTTCCCTTTCTCATTACCTATTGTATAAAGGCATGTCCTTTTGCCCATTAGGAGTATTAATTTTAATATTAAAACAAACATTTTTATTTTTTATTCCCTTTTATTTGAATACAAATAACATTTAAACACTTGACAAACACAATTTCAAAATGTAAGTAAATAGAAATAACTTGCAAATACTGCAAGTAGACGTTATTATCAGTTTACAATTTAATCTTATATACTTACATCTATATCCTTAATTCTTTAATTTTGTATATATAGAATAATATATCATAAAAGAAATAAAGTCTTAAAAGTTTATTAATAAAGTGCTGCTATTGGTCACATTATAGGAATTAAAAAAGTATATTTATTTGGTAAAATAAAACACGATGTTTACAAGCTGCACTTCGGTATAAGCAAATAATATTCACACAAACAAAACAAGAAAATCAACATTTTTTTAAATTCTCACAAAATTGTTTTATAAATCAACAGTTCCTTTTGAAATAAAGTATTTTACACATGCAGTATCTAATGAATAATAGACTGCCAGATTAATGACGTATTTTTATTGACATCTGTCAGTTTCACTTTCCAAACAAACCGTGTTTAGTGTGGATAATTTGTATGTTTCGTTATTTTTTCATTTTTTTACATAATCTTTCCGCTTTTTGCAATATCTAAGTATTCCAATAGTTACTACAACAATTTTACAAGGTTGTGTAAATAATAAAATATGTTGTTTTATAAAAATAGCAATAAAATGCATGTACCAGTAAAGTAAGGTTAGAATTTAACACTTGTGTGCCACACACTCTAGTTTTATCTGGGATCATGTGTACCTATCAGGCCACAGCGAATGCCATGTGCTTTCTTATGTATAAATTTGTGTACACAAATTGCAAAGAATTTACTACAGGCCCTAGTTCTAACCAAAAGAAGCCTGATACAAGAAGGCTAGGTAAGTTCTTTACGAATGCACAATTTCTGTTTGTAGTTTACTTTTTTTTGCTTTGTAGAAAAAGCTGAATCTGCAAACGTTAGCCTGAAAGCTATTATTGACGATGTTGTATCAAGAAATAAAATAACATGGAGCGATGTGCCAAATCCAGATGATCTCAATAAGTTCGAACTATCCTTGGAATATCTGAAACCCGAATTCAGATATTATTGGAGTAACAATTTACTTTACAAGAATGAAGTTTCTAAAATGTGTGAAATAAATAGAAGTCGATTTAAAATAATATTACACTTCTTTCACATTTCAGATACAGTGAGCTGCCCACCTGGAAACAGACTACAAAATTTCTCCTCTTGTACAAATACTAAATATTATGTATTGACGAAACTATGGTGCTATTTCGTGGTAGACTTAGTTTTTTGCAATACATTCCTGGAAAAAGACACTAATATGAAGTCAAACTGTTTAAACTTTGCGTCGCAGATGGATATAGGTACGCCGTAAAAGTGTACGATGGAAAAGAGATGCAACTGAAAAGTCGTTAACATCCAGAGTGGTGATGCAACTTATGCAACCGTTTCTAGATACAGGCAGAACTCTATACACTGATAATTTTTATTTGAGTGTTGACTTGGCCCATGATTTAAATAATAGGAAAACCCATTTAATCGGAACATTACGTGACAATAGGAAACATAATCCAAAAGCGGTAGTCGATGCAAAATTAAAAAGAGGTGACATGAAATATCTACAGAGTAATACAAAAGTTGTTATCGGAAAATAGAAATGTAAACAAGACGTTTTGTTTTTATCGACCAAGGATATCCCTTTGTAGATAGATGTTCAAACAAAACGTGGACCTGTTCCCAAACCATTGACCATTGTTGACTATAATTCTGCAAAATCTTTTATCGATGTATCGGATCAAAAGGCTGCATACAATTCCCCTGTTATAAATCTGTTACCGGAAAACATCTTTCAATGACTGAGTTCTGTGAACAGATTGTTCAAAGTCTTTTAATGGCACAAACAATTTCTGAAAATACTTTCACAACTCTGCATACGTCGGACGAGAAAGAGAAAAGGGACAGGTATTCAGTAGGTTATAAGAACTTTTCGAACCGTGAAGGAAGAACATCAGCAATGAAAAATGCCAAAAGGATGTACATTTTTTGTCCGGCATGTGCCGTTACTGCCGCATATATGTGTGTTAAGTGTTTTGTGAATATTCATACATGTTTTTTGAAAAAATAAATTGTTTTTGTATTTTTAAACTTAAAATATCTTAGGGAGAAGGTATTTGATTATCTTCCCGATGTGAGCCAATATGGCACACATGGTCCACATTAAAACAAATTACAAAAATAATTATAAATAAACCGTGTGTACCGTGTTGGTACATACTGTTTTTTACTTAAAAAAATGTATTTTTTTTTATTTTAGAATAGAAATAAATAGTTATACACATTTTTATTTCAAAATTATTTAAAAAATGTTCCGGTCTGACGGAAAACATATATCATGATGATCCGGGGCTTAACGTGTTAATTTAAGCGTTTTAATTATATTTCATATAAATAGAACATCGAATTATGATGTTATTATTGTAAAAAACACTATACTTAAGAAGAAAAAGCAACAGAGGAAGCAAAATTTTAACTTTATAGAAATCTTGAGATTGTGCAAACCCTGGCTTTTTAACTTTTGTTTGGAAAGTAATAATAAGAATATGACCGCTGTGAGGTCACACTCCGGCTGTCCATTAGCACATTAAAGGTCGATTCAGACACATCAGTCCTGTCACAGTCTCGGCGCCGAACCGGTCCTGTTTGGTCACAGAACTATCAACTATCTGACAGCTGGCAAACTGTTCGTCAATTGATGAATGTGAATGCCGGGGCCATATTTCTATTAAAGAATATTTTGTATGACGGATTGTTCGGTTCGGCGCCAGGACTGTGACGAGATGTGACTGATGTGTCTGAATCGACCTTTATGAAGAGAGAATTATTTGTCGAATAAGTTGTCATCGTCATCTGTCAAATTGTAGTAAATAATATTATGTTGAAAAGTATTTCTGTTTGTCCGATACAAACTCTCGAACGATTTCCACAAATAAATTAGCAAAATCTCCATTGCTGACATAAAAGATTAAAATAAACAAAACTGTGAACGATTATAACGAGTTTAAATGAGTTTATTTATATGTCTACATATGTTAACTTCAAACGCAACGAATCAGAAAAAATTTAAAAACTTTTGGACACTCGCCACAAGTTAATATATACGGAGGTGTCTATTAAATTAGAAGACTAGAGCAGAAGAGATCATTCAAACACAAAAAGACAGACTCTACATATAGAACTTTAAAATGCATAACTTGGCATGGGAACAGTTAACATATATCACATCACTGTGAAAATTTAAAAAGACAGTAAGCATTCAGTATGTTATTTATGAAATAAAATATTCAAATTTGCATTCTTAAAATTACAGCCTTAATAAAGATATTAAAAAATATAAGTTTATGTATAATCCGTAAAATCTTCCATATATTTGTTTTTGACCTCCTCGTTACTTTTTTCGTTTTGATAAATGCTTTCATTGTTCTTCTGATCCTGAATAGCTCTGTTCCTGATCTTTTTAATCTGTCTTAACCTTTCGATCCAATTGGAAGCTGCTGGTTCGTTGGGATGTTTTAAAGATTTTGTTACTATAGATGCCATCTAAAAAATAAATATAATAGGTACTAAATTGTATCATACAAAATCTGTGACATCTGTCTTTATATCTTAGAAATTATAAAAAATACTCACATTAGTATGTAGAGCTATCTGCCTTGCGAATATTCCCACATTTTGATCTGATACTAATTTTGGTTCGCTAGATGCAATCAAATTCGCTAGTTCTTCTTTTACCTTAACAGTAACTCTGTTGATGCCCATATCTAAAGGCTGAATAATTATGCAAGCAAATGTAAACTGACCCTAAAAAATAATATTTTTATTAAATGTTATAATTATAATATAAGTATTATCCGTTGCAAGATAATTAGGATGGAATTCCCCAGATTTCAATGCTCGGGTAGGCAAAAAATTACAAGACAATGTGGTAGGAAAATATGGTGAAGACAAAATAAACAACAACGGAGAGCGACTCATTGATCTTTGTGAAATATTACAGCTTAAAATAATGAATGTATTTTATCAGCACAAAGATATACATAAATTTACCTGGGAACAACCAAAGAAAAAGATAAAATCTATAATCGACTATCTCATTCAACCAGAAAACAAAAGACTTCAAACAAATGACGTAAGGGTGTATCGTGGTGCCGAATGCGGATTTGACCACTATATGGTGGTCGCACAAATAACCATACACTACAGGAAAGTAAACAAGAACAAAATTGAACAGGAGAAGGTAGCAGCTTCCACAAAGATAAAATATAATATTGATAGCCTAAAACAAGAATCAGTACAATTACTCTACAAACTTAGACTAGCCTCAAAACTAACTCCCTTAACTCGAAGAGAAACAGCCGAAAAAGAATATCAAGATATAAAAAATTGCATTCATCAGGCGACCAAAGAGGCATTGGGGTACGAAGAAGCTGAAAAAAAGAAAAAATCCTGAGTGGTGGAACGAAGAAGTAGGAAAATTAATTAAAGACAAAAAAAAAAGCTTATCAAACATGGCTATCCACAAAAGACTCAGAAGACCGTAGAATTTACAGCAGACTCCACAGGGAAGCAAAGAAGGAAGTCGCTAAAAGAAAAAACGAAATGTGGGAAGAGAAATGCGAAGAGATGGACCTATGCTTAAGAGGAACCAAAGTGACACAAGCTTGGAAATTCATAAAAAGTATTAGAAAAGAAAGAAAAGATGAGGGAAATATAAACCTGATTCAAAATAAAAAGTGGGAAAAATATTACGAAACGCTATAAACAGAAAGTAGGCATGAATTTATGGAAAGACCTGACCATATCTCAATGACAGAAAACTCAGAGGTGCATAAGATAAACAAAGAAGAACTGAAAAAAAATTGAAACAAATGAAAAATGGAAATACCCTTCAACAAGTAATTGAAAAACGAACAGCTCGAAACCTCCCTACGCATCTGGTATTTATAGATCTGAAGAAGGCTTATGATACAGTTCCTTTAAAACTCTTATTTAGTGTCTTGACGAAAACGGACCTTAGTAAAACATATCTAAAATCAATACTGAATATCTATAAATGTCCTCAAAGCACTGTAAAAACAGGAAATACTTTCTCAAGGGTATTTACAGTAACGAAAGGCTTGAGACAAGGATGTGGTCTTTCCCCCACCCTATTCAAAATATATATCTAAGAAGCACTGCACCAATAGAGACAAAAATGTGCGGGAATGGGGTTGAAGCTTAACAACCATTATCTGACAACGCTGTTCTTTGCAGATGATCAAGTACTAATTGCAAGCTGTGAAGAAGATGCAGATTATATGCTTATAAAAGCTCAAAGATGAATACGAAAAATGGGGGATGAGTATGAATATGTCAAAAACAGAATATATGCGAATAGACAGTGAAGACGAAGACCCGGATTTGGAAATTAGACAAATGAAAAGGTGCTACGAATACAAATATTTGGAAGTATTATCTGCAGTAAAGGAACAACCGAACGAGATATAGACTATAGAGTGCAACAAGGCAGGAAGAGTGTTCAAATTCTGAATTCGATACTTTGGTACAACAAAGCTACTATGAGAACTAAAATGACTATCTACAAAGTAATTGTAGAGCCCATTCTTACATATGGAGCAGAATGTTGGCAAATGACAGTAAAAGGAAAGAAAAAAGTTGACACGGTTGAAATGGACTACCTGAGAAGAGCTTGCCGTATATCAAGAGTAGAACGTATACCTAATTCTGAAATTAGAAGAAAAACAGATAGAGTACATACAACTTCTGAAAGAATAGTTAACATGGTATGGACACGTACAGAGGATGGACGACAACAGATGGTCAAAAAGAGCTATGGAATACAATCCAAGTAATAGAAGGAAACGAGGAAGACCAGCCAAGTCTTGGATACAAGGTGTTATGGAAACATGAAAGACAGAGCCATTGATGAAGACACCTGGAGGGATAGAAAAAGATGGCGATCGAAATGCGGGAAGCGGCAGAGTCTGTAGGATCCCCGCTTCTTATATATATATATATATATATATATATATATATATATATATATATTATATATATATATATCAAATTATTCTCAACCGTACTGTGTTAAATATTATTTGTAGTCTCAGACTACAAATAATATATATTAATATATATATATATATATATATATATATATATATATATATATATATTCCCAGATTAAGAGACTGGGACGATATCAAGCACAAAATGACTGTACTACCTTAATGTTGTAACGAACACTCACCCTTAGTCTTTCGTTACATTAGGTTCAATTTTAAATTCTCTCCAAAGTTTAAAGGTACTTTACTAAATGATACAAAGGTGTAGGTAGGTACGTATTTCAATTTTGAGTTGTTAACCTTTGGCAAATAAAATTTTATGCATAATTTTGTGTAAATATTTAAATTTAATCAGTTAATTGCATTTGTACTTGGAATTCAGAATTACAAATTTCTAGGTACGTAGAACCAGTGTTATAAGAGATTATTGAATTTCTTGCAATTTTATTCAGGTAAACGGATAATGTTTACTTAATATCAAATTACGACCATAGATATAAACCTGCTGCAACTTATATTACAGGAAAAGGTCTACGGAAAGAGAGGACCAGGAAGAAGAAGAATATCTTGGCTCCAGAATTTACGAAAATGGTTTTCGTTGACCACTTCAGGACTATTTCGAGCTGCGGTCAATAAAGTTAGAATTGTCATGCTAGTAGCAACATCCGTGACGGATAGGCACCAGAAGAAGAAGAAAGAACAATAAACAAAAATTATGATAGTCGATTAGTCACACTCACTGTAAACAACAGGGGCTTTTTTTTTAGTTAGAAATGGTTAACGAGTTCAACTATCTAGAGGCCCGGTGTAGATAACAATGAAAGAGACTGAGAGAAGTCTATGTGAAGCAGTGGATATGATTGGCTGGACGATGATGATATGTTTATAAAGTTTACTTTTGCAAGCAAAGCAAAACTGCAAAGTAAACAAATACAATTTTTTACAATAAATACTGATGACCTACCTTAAAAGTACTCATATTAACTTCTTCTCCACTTTCGTTGTAAATTATAGTAACGAAATTATTTCCAATGTGCATCTTCTTATTGTTACAAGTCGGATCTGATTCCTTATTGGGCATCATTGTAGCTACATGAAACATTACCCTGGTGACATCATCTTGCCATATATAGGCAAACTTTCCATCATTTCCGTGTTGGTCTAATCCACCAAGGAAAAATGTCTTAAAACAAAATCATTTATATAAATATTTTAGATGACAAAGTTTCAAATGTTCTCATCTTTGTTGATTATGAGAAAACTTTTGAACTGAACATAAAATCTTCTAAAACTTGACTATGATGTTTAAAGTTACGTTAAATAATAAATTAAAGAAAAGTGAAGTAATTAGAGAATACACCGTGAAGAAACATCATTTATATTGGCTTATGACACAAGCAGGTCAACGATTTTTGTATTGGGACAGTTGTGTCACTGAAAATAGAATTGGTTGTTTTCAACACCACGACATCATCACCTTGGTGCTACAGCCCTTAGAGGGCTCGACCTTCTCAAGCTTTCTACGCCATTCTGTTCTGTCCCTTGCTTGCATCTTGTATTACCCCATCCATCCACCTCAGCTTTGGTTCTACTTATAGTGGTAATATCTTTACCACCAAAATTATGCTTGTAGATATTCTGCAGTTCAAAGCTATATCTACTGCTCCATATTATGTTCTCACAGACCGCTCCGAGTATCTTGCGTAGCACCTTTCTTTCAAAAATCGATAGAGCAGATTCATCTGTTTTAGTTAGCGTCCATGCATGTGATCCATATGTGAGAACGAGGACTATCAGTGCTCTATACAGCCTTATACGAGTTTTTTGAGACAGACGTTTGTTAGCTAAGTACTTTGATAGACCATGATAACACCTGTTTAGAATTATTATTCGCTTTTTATTTCCTCAGATGTGTTATTATTGGGGTTCACCGATGTTCCTAGATATATGAATTCTTTGACTGCTAGGAAGTTTTGGTCATTGATGATTAAATCTTCATCACCATTTCCAGCTCTTGTGTTCGTGTTAGTCGCCATGAATTTGGTTTTATTTTGATTTGTATGTAACCCCATTCGTTCTGCTGCTGCTACTAGCTCGATTAGGATTTCCGCAGTTCTCGCCCTGGTTCTTGTTATAATGTCCACGTCATCTGCATTTGCTAGAATTTGGACTGATCTATTAAATATTGTACCCCTGCTATCTAAATTAGCGTCTCGTACAACTTTTTCTAAGGCGACATTAAAAAGCTGACATGCCGGCGCATCTCCCTGCCTTAATCCCCTATGTATTTCAAATGGGGTTGACGAGTCGTGTTAAATTTTTACTGCTGATAGCATCTTCGCCATTGTCACTTTTATCAAACATATGAGCTTTTTTGGAATTCCCAACTCATTCATGGCATTGTAAAGACTTGGTCTTAAGACACTGTCATATGCCGCTTTAAAATCGACAAAAATATGATACATATCTATGTTAAACTCTTGCGCTTTTTCGAGGATCTGTCGTAGTGTAAAGATCTGGTTAATGGTTGAACGTCCACGCCTGAATCCTGCCTGATATTCTCCTAAAACGTTTCGGTATAAGGCTTCAATCTCTCGTACAAAATGTTTAACAATGTCTTGTATGCTGTATTTAGAAGATTTATTCCCGGTAATTATTGCATTCCAGTTGGTTTCCCTTTTTGTGTAACGGGCAAATTAAGCCTAAGCTCCATTCGTCAGGCATTTGCTCCTCAGACCAAATTTTACAAACAATTTCTCGCATCACCTTGGTGAGCTGCTCTCCACCGTGCTTAAATAACTCTGTTGCTGGGGATTTGTGGTTCCTTAGTTTTTCTATAGATATTTTCACTTCATCTACCGAGGGAGGTTCCACGATTTCCTCATTTCGGTATTCCAGCTCTACAGGGTGAGTCATAACTATTGGGACATAGACTAAGGACAGGTTATTTGGACCAAAATATAGCTATTGGGCTAAATATGCCTTAATAAAATGTTGCTGAGAAAAAAGATACAGGGTGTTAAAGTTAATTTTTGTTTTTCGTTTTTTGCTAATAGTTTCTCTGTATATTTATAAATTGCTATCAAAATTGGCACAGAGGCATAATCTTAGACAATAAATAGTATTTTATTTACAATTTTACGTTTTGTCATAGAGGGCGCCACGTGGATCATTCCTAATGATCAAATTGAGTACTAATGAACTTTTTAGTAATTTTTATTAGAAAATATGACGCAAAAATCATTTTTATGTAAAATTGGTACTCTTGTTTAAATATGATAATTTCAATCGTTTTCGATAAAAACGCAGTCGAACTGCTTAGTCTTAAAAAAGAATTTCAAATATTATTTCATTTATGAAAAGTATGCTTTGGACTGTCAGATAATTGTTGTTGGTAAATGTCATTTGTTCATAGTAAATTATTTTTGATGTGACAGTGTAGTGTAATGTTGCATTTTTTTTAAAGTAATCATTACTTTTTTTGATTGAAATGCCTCGTCACAATCATTTTACTAATGAAGCGTTGCGTTGTGTATACGCACAAGAAATTTTTTGCGGTCGCTCGGCAGCCAGAAGGTATGGAATGTTATACGCAAACAGAAGGCAACCAAATCACAAAACTTTAATATTTGGGGACAGAATATTATTTTTTTTTAATGTCCGAAAATCCTTTATAAAAAGAATTAGAAAAGGCATAGAAATCGGAGGAGACCATGTAGAACATTTGGTTTGAGTTTTTGTGAGTTCTTTTAAGTTAAAGTGTGTTTAGTTTTGATTTATCGTCAAAACGGAAACCTTACGTTAGTTGCAACTTTGTTTATTAGTTTGGTAATTGATAGTGGAATTGTAAATAAAATACTATTTCTTGTCTAAGATTATGCCTCAGTGAAAATTTTGATAGCAATTTATAAATATACAGGGAAACTATTAGCAAAAAATGAAAACAAAAATTAACTTAACACCCTGTATCTTTTTTCTCAGCAACATTTTATTAGGGCATATTTGGCCCAATAGCCATATTTTGGTCCAAATAACCTGTCCTTAGTTTATGTCCCAATAGTTATGACTCACCCTGTATATTGTTAGTAGGTTCAACCTACTAAACGCCATGGTTCAACCGAATTACTATTTTGCAACAGGTTTTGTTGCAGACATAACCCCTTCGTAATTTTTCAATACTAATTGAAGGAGTTATTACTTTTATTTCCTTTCTTTGTTTCCAGTAAGTGTTTGAGAAAACTCGTAAGTGATTTTTTCTCTCGATGTTCTGATTTTCGTATATTAATGAGGACCTGCAATTCTACGGTTTTAGTATATTCATGTGGAATATTGGAAGAAAAACGAGGAGAGGAAAATGGAGAAAATGGAAATTGTGATTGTTTATATACTCTTGATGGAAAATAAATACACTTTTTGAAGCTCAATGAAGTAATCAATGAAATATGCTTTTTAAGTTGGAGTTAACCATAGACTGGTGCGTTTACATATCAAATAATCGATACGAATTGTTTTTTTAGTGTTTTTTTAGTGGTATTTTCTAAAGACAAAAATGAAATTTTTATTTCTGTAGCTGTAAACTAATCGGTTTGGTACTTACCTGAGGATCGACGTCAGACAATTTCACAAGAGTGCCTAGCTGTTGCAAAAATTGGACATATCTTAGAGAACCAAATCGATTTTTATATATTTCAACTTCGGAGTGGATTTGTCCTTCACGAACATATAAAACGCCGATTTTATGGGTTTCGTAGGGGGGAATGGTGTCTAAAACCTGAATATTAAAGTTGAATTAATTATTATTTGCAGTTTGTGTATACATAATATTTTTTGACACGCCAGTTTATTTTAAAGTGATGATTTTATAAATAATTTATGGTTAGATCTACAAGACAAACATATACAATAGTGATTCATCCTGCAATGTAGCAAATATGTCATAAATGTATGCAGTTGTATAGTTGTTGATTAGTGCTATATAAAACTACAGGAAAATTATTGACTACATGAGAGAAATGTACTTCCTTACCTTTAATAGTTGTGTAAGAAGACTACTTCCTTACCTTTAATAGTATTAAAAAAAGCAAGAACATGGTATATATAACATATACCGGGTGGTGAATCGTCAAACGGGCCATAGGAAACTCAATGAGAAATTTTAAATTATTGAATTGCTGCTTCCCTAATTATTTTAGATCAAAAGTCATAAAAAAACTATTTGTAGAGGACTAAAATCTGAATTAAAAACAAATGTTAAAACCGTTCTACGAATCAAATGTACTTCAAAATTTTGAAAAAATGTGATACATTTTTCAGACCACCCCTAAAAGTTAGGCCACACGTAATGCAAGAATATATATTAGGACGTGTGTGTTTTATAATATTAATGTCAGATGTTTGACAATTTGAATTGTCAATTTTTTTATTTTATGATTAAATTATAAACAATGAATTTTACTAAATACAATACTACTGAACAGTATTACTTTGTGAACAATAAATTATATTGTGTAGTTGACGAAAAATCGCATAATGTTGTATTCAGGCAATAGCGCGGACCTTTTCCTGCCACTACGCGATCTTTATTTAACGTAAGATATTCTAATTCACTAAAATTTAATTCCATGTTAAGTTAAGTTATACAACAATTCAATGAATTCCAATATACTGTTACTGTGATCTTTATTCCTAATAATAATATATGATTATTTCTAAACATAAAACTATAACAAATATAATAAAACATGAATAAAACATTTTTATTATTGCTTTTTTCTCCCCAACTGTACATTTTTTAATCAACTTAATTTTTTTTTAACAATAAATCACAAAATTTTGGCTATTTAAATCATAGATAAATATAATATAATTAATTTAAATATTGTCAAATATCAGAAACAATAATATGACAAAACGCAACACGTAATACACATTTTTTCACAGAAAAATGTATTATATTTTAGCAAAATTTTGGAATACGTTTAAGTCGTAGAATAATTTTAACAGTTGTTTTCGATACATATCTGAGTCCTTTACAAATAGTTTCCATGACTTTTGGTGTAAAATAATTAGGGAAGCAGGAATTCAACAATTTAGAATTTCTCATTGAGTTTCCTATGGCCCGTTTGCCGATTCACCACCCTGTATATTTAAGAAAGAAGATAGAAAACGATGCGAAAACTACAGAGAAATAAGCGTAATATCATCAATAGGAATAGTATATGGAAGATACTGCGAGAAAAGATAGAGCAAGCGATACAAGGTAAAATCGGGGAGGATCAGGCAGGCTTCACGGCAGGAAGATCATGTATAGACCAACATATACACACTGGAACAACTACTGTTGGAAAAGAAAAAAGCAAAAAATATAGATATACATTTGGCATTTGTGGACCTAAGAAAGGCGTATGACCCTTACCAAGGTCAAACTGTGGGAGATAATGTACAAATTATAAATACAGATGGAACTCATGAAGCTACAAATTCTCTGTATAAAGAAAATAAAGTGTTCATTGAAATGGGAACAAGAATCATAGGAGACCTCACCACAACAAAAGGGTTCCTGCAGGGTTGTTGCACATCTCCAACCATTTCAAAATATACTTAGAGAAAGCCTTGACTACATGGAAAAGAAAATGCGAAGGTATGGGAGTACGGATACGAAACGAATACCTATATACGTTAAGCTTTACGGACAATCAAGTAGTGATTGCACAAGACCAAGAAGACTTCAGTTACATGATGAAAAAACTACAATAAGAATATACCAGGGCTGGCTTAGATATTAACCTCGCGAAAACAGAGCACTATCTACAAGTGAAGAAGACCTAGAAGATCTACAGATTGACGACAACGTAACAATCAAAGGAAAGGATAAATTCAAATACGTGGGGTTTATAATCACGAAAAAGACAACAACAGAGGAAGAAATTAAGCAAAGATTAGGACAAACAAGAACAGCAATCCGACAACTTACTCAGTATGATGCGATAGACACCTAAATATGAAGACAAAAACACTTTATTTTAAAACATTATTTTATAAAACATTAGTGCGAAGTATTATCACATATGAGGCTGAAAATTGGATTATAAACAAGAAAAACAGCAGTAAGATAGTAGCAACAGATTATGGCAGTGTTTCCCAAAGTGGGGGTCGCGACCCCCTGAGGGGTCGCCATGGGGTACTAGGGGGGTCGCCTCTAGTACCCCAAACAACTCCAACCCCAACATTTCCAAAAAAAGACAAAATCACTACAAAGTCCGTAAAAATAAAAGAGTAAACAAAGTCAAATACCATAATCTTAATGAGAGCTATGCGCCTGTTTCTGTGAAACTAATCTTTCAAATCTAGGCGTGTATTTGAGACACACACAATTATATCATTTTTCAAGTATGAGACAATTTCTAACTCTTGTTTTAATGGTAGTCATAGACGAGAAACTTAACTCACACAAATATGATGTTACAAATGGAACTAAACATTTTACAGCTTCACTCGCCAACGAGCGGTATTCCTGCATCTTTTCGGTCCAAAATTGGACCGAGTTCTGGGAAAAAATTGGAGCTTCAACATTCCATCACTTGATATTTCAATAAGTTTTTCTTTCATGTTTATTGGTATTTCAACATGCTGAAAGGAATCGGCTAAAAACGGATTTAGTATCCATCTGCAACTGTCGTAAACTATTTTGAATTTCTTAGGGGAAATAATCACAGAGCTGTTGTTTTAAATTGAGCGAAGTAACATGCATGTCAGCAAAAACTTGTTTAAAATTTGTAGCACTGTAATTGGATACATTTTCCATAATTTCCTGAAGGCACTGGAATGAATTGAGTTGTTTTTTGCCAGGTGAGGTCGACCATAAATCGATTTTTCTTAGAAACGCCTTAATTTTATTTGTGGCTGTAATTATATTAATGTCGCGACCTTGTAAATTACTGTTAAAAATATTTAATTGCTCAAAAATATCAGCAAGGAAACCTAGTTTCAGAAGCCAAATAGGATCGGAAAATTGATTTTCATATGGGGACTTCTCATCTTTCAAATACATTAAAAGCTCTGCTCTTAAGTGAAATACTCTTTTTAAGACGTTGCCCCTTGAAAGCCACCTTACTTCGGTGTGATAGAGAAGATTTTCAAATAAAGCACCCATGTCCATGCAAATTTTTCTAAAAATACGGGTCTGCAAAGCTTTTCCTTTAATGGAATTTACAACTTTAATGATGGTTTTCATAACACAGTCCATTTTAGGAGGTAAAGCTTTGGACGCAAGAGCTTCTCGATGTAAAAAACAATGTCTCCATTTGGCATTGGGCATTATTTCTTGTAATTTGACGACAAGACCAGATTTATGTCCTGTCATAGCTTTAGCGCCATCTGTGCATATAGCAATACATTTACCCCAGTCAATATCATATTTACTTGTACGTTTCACAAAAGTGTCGAGTAAACATTTTCCAGTGGTATTGGTCTCCAATGGGGAACAAATATCTTCTTGAATGCCATTATTTGATCATATCTTACAAACGTAATGAATTGGGCACAGTTAGATATATCTGTGGATTCGTCCATTTGAAGAGAGAAGTACGTGCATTTATTAAGATTTTCCACAACTTGCGCTTGAATATCTTCTGCCATATCACTAATTCTTCTTTGGATAGTATTATTTGACAGAGGTATTGTATTTAATTTTGCAGCATCGCTTTCCCCACACATTATATGTACCATTTCAACAGCTGCTGGAAAAATCAGATTTTCAGCAATTGTGTGCGGATTGCTAGTTTTGGCAACACGATAAGCAACTTTATAACTTGCTAATAATGCTTTTTCATTAGTAGTGGTTGCCAAGGGAAAACTGTCTTGCTGTTTGTGAAGGACGTTCAGCTTTCTTTCAAAGAATTCTACGGGCTTGTCTTTTTTACCTGGATGTATGCTATTTAAATGTCGAAGTAACTTTGATGGCTTCATGCTTTCTTTTGACAAGACTTGTCCACAAATAACACATTGTGGTTTATTGGAAATAACGGTAAAACCATATTTAAGATATTCATCAATGTAGAATCTGTTTTTATTTCTATTGCTACTACTGCCACTTTCAGACGTAGATGGTTCTGCACTTCTTTTTAAAAACTTATCCATAATTTATCGTAGACGTAAATACGTAAACGGCTGTTTGGATTCGAAATGAGGTTTCGTTGCGCATCGCCGCTTATATAAAGCCAAAACGAGGCAACGAGAACGTTCCAGAGTGCCATCTAGTAGCGAGCGCTTTCGCGATTATCATGGAAGAGTTTTGCGATGTAGACACAAACTAATATGTCGCGGTGTACAATGTGCAGTCGACTTCTTATTATTTATTTTTATTGTAAATGCTATTCTGGCAGAAGTACCTACTACTAATTACTAGTGGGACAGATCGCAATCATTAAAATAATTGTATTAAAATAAAATATTTGTTTTTGATTTAAACTTAAACAGTAAAGTAAAATTAAATTTGAGAAATCATCAGATAATTGTAAATTAGGCACGCTATTTCTGTCAAATAATATTGAATAAATGAGTCGGGGGAAACTGGGGGGTCGCGAACAATTTTTTTAGCAAGAAGGGTTCGCGGTTTAGATAAGTTTGAGAAACTCTGGATTATGGAATGCCTGCGGAGATGCTGCAGAGTAACAAGAATGGATAGGAGAAGTAATGACGAAATAAAGCAAAGAACATCCATAGAAACAGACATACTAACATATATAGAACAAAAAAGACTAAAGTAGTATGGACATGTAAGAAAAACTAGCGACAGCAGATGGATAAAGAGAATAACCGAATGGAGTCCCATAGAAGGAGGAAAAGAGGACGACCCCGAAGATCCTGGAGGAACGATGTAAACGACGCCATGAGTAAGAGAGGCCTAAACGATGGAGCAACAGAGAGAAATGGAAACGGTTTGAGCGAGGGAAGGCAGTGAATACTGTAGAATCCGTGAATATATATAAAGCAAGAACAAATTTAAATATGTGATATCGTACCTTAAATGCTCTGTTAACAACCTCCGTTATTTTGAGCTTTATGGGCTGCTCATTTTTATTTCCAAATTTGGCAGTGTGATAAAACTGTAAAAAGACAAAACTCGGATTAATGCCACTCTTGGAGCATCTTTCTTTTCTTTTGCTGTTCTGC